TATTTTATTCACCAATTGAATGTTGTAAAAGTTTCGGAGCATCGGCTGGGGATAGTAAAATTGTAAAATTGTTCTATCCGTCATTCGGTTGCCCCCTTACGAGCAACCCTCAGAAGTCTTCGAAAGTCTTGTGCGAGCAAGGAATGACGGGGGCCTTACCTTTTAACGTGTGATCCCAAACACTTCCTTAGGCCATCAGAAAAAGTCTGCGTTTGTGGGACTCGAACCCACGATCGTAACCTCGACGTGAATCGATATTGAAGCATCGAAGCACTGAGGTACGCCGGCCTCTAGTCTACTAGTCTAGTCCTGCACGATTCGCTGTTGCGTTCCAATTAACAGTGCTGCTCCTAAAGTGACGCATGGAGTTAGTCACAAAGTCTGCATAGAACACGCAGAAAGAGATGATGATGTGGTTGTGAGCATCAGAGAAGAAGTAGGACGGTGTATGTAGGTGGGTGTGGAAAAACTACCAGCTGAGTGTGAGAGCGGGCCAGCTGCTTAGTGGACCTCGGTCTCTAACGGGGGTCCACGAGGATAGCTAGCAGGCCTGCTACTGCGCATATGGTAGTGAGTACATTACTAGCCTACAGAACACATCCGAAAAACTCTGAAAGAGAGCTGATGGGCGGTACCTGAAAAGGATGTTAGCCAGCTCTCGTGGACTATCAAATGGATATTCCCCATTTGACCCCACACTTGACTAAAAGTTGGCACAATAGTTATTTATACACGATGGTAGTAAAAAAAATCATTATTACTCAGGGACCAAGATTATATCACGAGGCTTCAGCCGAGGGGTATAAGGTCCGGTGGAAATACTATTTTCTACTACCAAGGTGTACATTACATTTTTTTCACCACTAGCATATATTTCAATCATTTCAGTTTTGTGAGATCAAAATATGGACCTATTATCACTATGATAGCACTATTTTCAATATTTTGCCATGACCATGACAGCATATTTGACAAGTCGTTATATTGATGAATACCTACTAGATTGGAGTGCCATTATTGGGAATCTTGCATCAGAACAGTGAATTCGGGTTAATTATAACAGAGGTAGCTTAGTCTTTATTGACTAGTGGTTAATAAAATTACGAAATCTACCTTGGTAGTGAAAACACACCAATGCCAACAATATCAGCTGTATCACTTGGGGAAACACTTCCCCGCTTACAAAAAGCTGATTATTACAGTAACTCAAATCATAAGTTCAATAGATCATGATCGAAATCGTTATACGAGGGGGGATCAAAATCGTCAAAGAAATAACGGCCAATTCATTTCACAGAGAAATCATAATGTTCTCCCTAATGATGTTTCGGAAAATATTACTCCTGCGTCAGATCCGGGAAACAAATTGGCACACAAACTTCAGGGCCTGAAGTTGATGTAAATAGTACCCACAGGGCCGCCATTATTAAAAATAATCCTATGGATGAATTGTTGGAATGTGATTATTTATTTATTTATTTATTTATTTGTCCATACAGGCCTAGTGGCCTATTTACATGGATCAATACACAGATATACATGTACACATTTGAAAGCAAAAGAGTGCTTTTTCTTCATTCATACTATTATCAGAACTGTAGGGGGATTCGTATGACAATTATTGAAATGATGGTTAATATTATTGGAAGTGAACAATTTTGCAGCATTCCTTCTTTACATGGAGTGAATGCAAGCTGAATAAACGTTAGGGAAAATATGTTCATGATGAGAGGTTGATTATTTGAGTGATGATCAATCTATAAAAGGCAGATTGAGACAAAGTCCATTCCAAGTTCAACATTCCATCAAAAGTATTAGCTAAGCGCAAAATAGTTGCTAGTGGGGCTCTGCAACCTGAGATGGACAATGATATCTTGAAAGGTGCTGTAAATCGGGTTCGACGAGATGGTACATTAAATGGAATCAATGACAAGATTTCTGGTGAGTTTATCTTATTGTTTATAACTTTATATAGATTCATCATCGCTAGTAGGTTTCTTCTTTGTTCTAAGGCTAAGATTTTAAATTCCTTCCTCAGTTGTACCGTGCGGACATAATTATAGTCAGGCCATACGTGATTCTTTTTAAAATACAGGTACCTGAGGAATTTATTTTGTATCTTTTCAATTTCCTTCAAGATTGTTATGTGCTCTCCTAACCATATCACAGAAGCAAATTCAAGTTTTGGTCTTACCAAGCTGTAATAAAGTAATTTTATGGTATCCACATTATTGAAGCTATGAGTTTGTCGAATCAAAAATCCTAAAGCACGGTTTGCATCCCGAACTATTTTAGAAATATGATTTGTGAACGAAAAAACATTGTTATATGTTACTCCCAAATCCCTAACCTCAGTTTTCCGTGCTAACACTTCATTGTCCATCTGATATTCGAAGTTAATAACATTTTTTAAACGAGTTATTGTTAAAATATAGCATTTTTTCACATTAAAGTATAATTTATTGTTGTAACTCCACTCTACAATGCTATTGATATCTTTTTGTAGCATCACACAATCTCGCACAGTTTGTATACGCTTGAATATTTTGAGGTCATCTGCATAGAGCAGACATTCTGAATAATTAATACAGGACGGTAGATCATTGATGAATAAGACAAACAGCAGGGGTCCTAGATTTGAACCCTGTGGCACTCCAGAATTTGCATGAAACTTTCCAGAGGTGTTTCCATTGTGCTTTACGACAAAGAACCTATTTTCCAAGTAACTTTTTATAATGCGCATGAAATTTACTGACAAGCCAAATTCACTAAGTTTTGTTAATAGAATGTCGTGATTAACTTGGTCAAACGCTTTGCGAAAATCAGTAAATATCGTATCTAATTGTGCTTTGTTCGCAATGGTTTCAAATACTTCATTACTGTATAGAAATAAATTACTATTGATTGATTTTTGTGTAATAAACCCGTGTTGCTGTGTAACTATAATTTTATTGGTGAAGTTGTATAATTGAATATAAATAATTTGCTCCAATAACTTAGATGGTGCACACATGATAGAAATCGCTCTGTAATTCTCTACATCCTTCTTACTACCAGATTTGAAAATTGGTGTTGTTATAGAAGTTTTCCATAACTCGGGATAGTTACCGGAACTAACTATTAAGTTATATATATGAATTAAGGGTATTTTCAACCACTCATAGCAACCTTTAAGAATATACGGTGGTATTCCGTCTGTACCCGCTGACTTTTTGGGTTTTAGTTTTTTAATTGCTTCATTGTAATCATTTTCATTTATCGAATGAAAATGAAATGTATCATTAGATATGTTAATATTATCGTCAAATGCCATATTATAAGTAGATTTCTCTTGACAATAGACAGACGCAAAAAAAAGTGCAAAAGTTTCTGCAGTTTTTCCAGCTGGTACAATCACCTTCTTATAAGTGAAGTTATCTAAATCTGTTTTGTCATTTCTTTTATTATTTATGTAGTTCCAGAATTGGTTTACATCATCCGTAATATTTTTTTCAATATTTTTAATATACTCCCTTTCTTCCCTTCTAATTATTGTGTTCGTTTTCCTTCTAAGTTCTTTGTATCTATCATTATAAAATTCAGATTGCAACCTCAATCTTTGGTAATGTTTTTTCTGCTTCAGGAGATCAATTATTTCATTCGTGAACCATACTGGATATTTACATGATTTGCGCGAAATTTTATATTTGGGTACACATTTCTCAACAATAGTATTCCAAATGCCATAAAATTTATCTAAGGCCCTGTTCACATTTGACTCTGCGAGTACAGAACTCCAGTCCGTATCTCTTACACTTATACTTAAACCTAGAAAATCAGCCTTCTTGAAATTGTATCTGAATTCATTCTCATTATTGTTTTCATAACATTTCTTGTATTTTTGAAATGTCAAGGTAATATTAAGTGGTGGATGATATACATCTTCAGTTACAAAAGGTGATAACTCTCTATTCACTATACAAGTATTAAAGTTGATTTCTGGTGCGATAACCAAATCCAGTGTTCGTCCATTAATGTTTTGGATCTCATTGAATAACTTGAATGAATTAAAATCTAAGAAGTCTTGCAAATTAAGAAGTTTCTCGGTTTTACCTTCAAAAGTAGGATTAGTGATTTCCGGAAGATTGAAATCACCCACTATCAGAGTGTTATCTGCATTATTAATATTTTGTCGTAAAAAATTGAAAACTGATTCATATAGATTACTTGAACTATTAGGAGGAATATAAACTGATATTATCGTGTATTTTTCGCTACTCACCTTAAACTGTAGAGATATGGCCTCAAAGATGTCGCAATGTTTGACAAAATCCAATATTTTATATTTTTTGTTTAATGCCATCAATACTCCACCTCCAGTGCTTTTATTAGTGATTTGTAAATTTCTATCCGCTCTAAAAAGATTGAACATTTCCGTGTCAACAATTTCCCCATCACGTGTACCATCTTGCAACCATGTTTCCACAGCCACTACAATATCAAAGTCATCATTCAAACAATTCCTTGAGAAATCCAAAAGTTTTGTGTTAAGACCCCTACAGTTCTGATAATATATATTAAGATCAGACGGCATATTGTATAGCATATAAAGCGAGCTCAAAATAAATTACTCAACTAAAAAGGTACTTTTCTTGATTAGTCTGATCAAATATACCTACTCATTTATGCCTATACCTATCATCATCATAAAGATATTCCTATTAAATGAACACAATGATATTCAAGTATATAACATTGTTACGGTTGTAAAAGAAAAAAAAAATTCACAATAATGATATCACCTAACTATAATCAAACAATAAGGTGAAGTTTTATTTACTATAGATAATTACCCCTATAGGGCGATATGAAGATAAATCGGACAACTATTAGTGTAATCAGCCCTTAGCATGACTTATACAAAAAGAAAAGAACTAAAAACGCATATCCTAACTATTCTATTCATTATGTAGGTTTTATATTCTAGCAAGTTTTTGTTTTCTTTTTTCTTCACAAATAATTCAGTCCTTCAGATCAGCCTCGTTGTTGATTGTTTTTACAGCGCTGCCACATTTGGCATAAATTCTTCCACTCCTTGTCCAAACATCTCTACCAAATTTCTTTCTTGCGTTGATTTGAAGGTTGTAACGTTTATGAGTCAGGTCCTCATTTATGAATATGTGCTTTCCTTTAAGAAGACCCTTTGCCTTGAAAACCTCGTTTCGCCTCAACATCGTGACAAATTCTATAATAGTTGCTCTGGGTTTAGAGTTCGAATTTTTGGCCTCTCCCACACGGTATACATCACTAATTTCTTCCGGAGTACATTTTATTCCCAAATCTTCGGTAATCAATTTCAACATCTTTCCTAGTAGATTTTCATTCTGTTCTTCAGCTGCACCAATAATTCTTAATTTCTTCATTTTAGCATTTTGTTCCAGAGAATCCAATTTTTCATTGATAACTGTAATTTCCTCACTATTGTCATGTATGCTTTTCTCCATGGATGTCAACTTTGTAACAACATTATTCAATTTATGATCAAATTTCTCGATCAACTTATCCATTTCATTCTTGATCATATCACCGATTTTCGGGGCCAATTTTCCAACTAATGCGTCTAGAGTACTACTACTTACTTGATTGTTAGCCTCACTGATTCTCGGGATTAATTTTTCCACTATTGCCTCCAATGAGTTTTCATCTATAGAAATTTGTTTCATGTGGAAGAGAATAAACGTTCACCTCTTATATCAGTGTCAATTTTCCGGCACTTATACATACTGATTCAGAATGTACATGCATTTCAGGTGACGTTTTCAACCAATTGTCACAATTTCATTATCAAATTCTTGCGTTTCCAGTAACTGGGTAAGAATTACGGGGGCGCTGAGGACAAAGGAAATACGTATTACTCACCAGCTTTTGCTCAATGTTGTCATAAACGACTCGCAATTTTGTAATGAATTTTTGTTAGTTACTGATTCAATTTTTCCAATAATCTTGGGGGCAGATTTTTTTAAGGAAGGTAATGCCGAAATTAAATCAGGAAAAGGATGTTCAAAACTGTGCAATGAAGAAGAGACAATTCATGTGGTGGAAATAAAAAAAATCACGAGTTCAAGGCCCCTGAAGAGAACTTGAATTTGCAAACAGTAGCGGTCAAGCGAAGTACTTTTTTATCCGACCCAGGGAATACCGATAAAAACAATAGGTTTTGCACTACTTTCATTGATAATTTATCGCATTTAACAGATCGGCAAAAAGTCGCACTTAAGAACGTTTCAAACAAGTATCGAGACATTTTTTCGGACATTCCAGGACGAACACATTTTTACGAACATAAAATGAAATTATCGAAAACTGAACCTTTGCATATTAAACCTTATCCAATCCCGGTGGCATACAGAGAAAGTGTTTTTAGGGAAATCGATAAAATGAAGTCATGGGGAGTGATTGAAAGGGCCACCACCCCATTCACATAAATCCTTTAGTCACGACTGTTAAAAAAAATGGCAAAGTCAGAATTTGTTCAGACGCGAGATTTCTCAATCGTATGGAACCCGAACATGATCTTCCACGGCCTATTGACGAAATTTTTAAATCTTTATCAGGGGCGCGGTACAAAAGTTTTGTTGATCAGGGTATTGGCAGATTCCCCTACGCGAAGAAGATAGAAATTATACGGGCTTTATAATAGGCAACGAAAGTTACCGCTTCACAGTTCTTCCTTTCGTGATATCTACGGCCGTATCTCCGTTCACGAGGGCCGTATCGCTAATACTCGGATCAGAATGTGATGATTATGTAATTGCTTACTTGGACGATATATTAATTTATTCCGAGACATTCGATGATCACCTTGAATACTTGGAAAGCGTTCTGAATCGGTTATTGAAAGCGGACTTGACACTGAATCTCGAAAAATGTAGTTTTTTGCCAGAAGTTTTACCTTATATAGTATACCTCGCAACCGGAGACGGTATCCAAGCAGATCAATCGCGCAAGAAATCCATAATAAAATTTCCTACTCCTAAAAATATTAAGCAAGTCCAATCTTTCCTAGGACTCTGCAATAATGACCGAATATTTTGCGGAAATTCTGCATCATTGGTTCAGCCTTCAGTTATATTATATCATCCGGATCCCAACGTAGAATATCGTGTTCATATTGACGCGAGTGAATATGGATTAGGAGGCCAATTGTATCGACGGATAGATGTCCGGCGTTGCGTAGTTGCGTATGCTAGTCGTCTTTTATTAGATCGTGAGAGCAATTATAGTAGTTGTGAAAAAGAAGTACTTGCACTGGACTTCGCTCTTACAGAATGGAGGACTTATTTATTGGGTCGTCATTTCCAAGTCTTCACGGACCAGAAGGCACTATTATATAATCCGAATCTGTCGTCTTTTGACACCGAGGATTTTTCGTTGGGCTCTTGCCCTACAAAAATGCGATTTCACGGATAAGGCTCAGAAAATGTGATCGCGGACGTTCACAGTGGGAAGACGAAAAATAAAGTCCTATGATTGAATCTTTGAATGATGATAAAATAGAGAACATAACGGTTTACTTTTTGCTCGCCGTTGTGATGATGAACCATTTGCGTTATGTGTTCCAGAAGTTTCAATTGAAGATTGTTTACCACGAATCGCTTGGGCATTCTGGGGTCTATAAAACGTGGTCGGCCATTAAGCGTGATCTGTGGTGGAGGGGGATCTTCAAAAGGGTTATTAAACGTTGCGCTATCTGTCAAAAGGCTGAACCAGCAATACTACCGAAACCTCCTCTGCAGTCTATAATACTTGAAAAAGTTAATGAAAAAATTTCTACAGATTCATATGGCCCGTTACCTAAATCGCGCGGGGGCGTGACATTTTTATGTGTCATTTTTTATATTTTTCCAAATTCATAGCTCTTTATGCTTTGAAAAATGCCACATGTCGTAGTATCCTGAATAGACTGATCTTAGATTATTTTCCAAAACACGGTGCAGCAGAAAAAAATCTTTTTCACCACGGGTCTCAGATTACTTCGAAATCTCATGCTAGGACCTTGAACCCTTTAGGAGTAAAAACGATTTTCAGTTCTGTCAGACATCCACAAGCTAATCCGGTAGAGAGGAGTATGCGCAATCTCTCTCGCCTATTTATTCACATATTGTTACGACAAACACCAACGGTGAGCGTACGAAATCCCGAGATTTGCCAATTATTTAAATTCTGTGATTCATGAGAGCACTGGTTCAAGTCCAACTGAATTACAATTAGGTACCCCCTCTATATCCTTGATGAAAGACCATATCGTTCACCCTGATGATTGTCCGGAAAAAACTAAACGGGTCGAAATGATTCTGGCAATGGCTCGCGCCGAACGACGTAAAGTACAATATCCGGGACGACCGTATAAGGAATATGAGATTGGCGAACTAGTATTGTTACGTGCTAATCCGGTGTCCTCGGCCGTAACGGCTGAAACTATAGAGTTTGCATTGCTTTTTGAGGGACCATATGTGGCCTACTTTTTTATATTTATTGAAATAAACCAAAATTGCATAAAAATATAAGACACATTTGCGAACGGCAGCTCTTCGCCAGAGAACAGATAAGTGGATTCGTTGTGATTGCAGATAGTTAAATTTTAAGTTCAGAGGGCGCCATTCAATTTACAAAACAATTACTGATACTTGGATAATTGAGAAAACCAATTAGTTGGATACTTACAGTATTTTTAAAGGAGGAAGGAAAGCTCAAAGTCATCTCCACAACTTTAATATGAAGTTTATTCAACGGGACATGTTTCGAACTTATAAAAGTCCATCTTCAGCCGTATTTAAGATATTACTAAAAGTAAAGACATTTGAAAATATACAAAATGTTATAAAAATTGTTTTTTGACTTACATGGAGGTGAAACATTGTTTGTTTTAACAATGATGTCGATGTCTCTCATCATAATGTCATTGATGAAGAATAAATAAATTGAGGAATGAACGGGTTTTCATTAAAAATGAAGGGCCCCGTGCCCTGAGAACGCGCACTTATGAATCAATCAAAAGTCAAGTCCCAGAAGGGAAACTTGACGAACACACAAGGTGCTCAAAGTAACCATATTGGTGTATTACAGGAGAGGGTCCCGTACCCTTGAGAGAGCGCACTTAAAAAACCAAAAATCAATTTAGAATTGATGGGGCCAAAAGCCAAAAACGTGTTACATCCACGTTCGTCAAGTTTCCCTTCTGGGACTTGACTTTTGATTGATTCATAAGTGCGCGTTCTCAGGGCACGGGGCCCTTCATTTTTAATGAAAACCCGTTCATTCCTCAATTTATTTATTCTTCATCAATGACATTATGATGAGAGACATCGACATCATTGTTAAAACAAACAATGTTTCACCTCCATGTAAGTCAAAAAACAATTTTTATAACATTTTGTATATTTTCAAATGTCTTTACTTTTAGTAATTTCTTAAATACGGCTGAAGATGGACTTTTATAAGTTCGAAACATGTCCCGTTGAATAAACTTCATATTAAAGTTGTGGAGATGACTTTGAGCTTTCCTTCCTCCTTTAAAAATTCCACTCCACTTTGAGCAAACATGGACTTCTACCAGAGATTACTTACAGTATTTTCCAAAACTTAATCCTGAAATAGAAATGTGAAAAAAAATCTTCTTTAATGGCAGTGTCAACACAAGTCGATGAATAAAACCATATCAAATTTCAGACCTATTTTTTATTAACACCATAATAGACAGGGTTTATGAAGACCAGTATAGAGACCAAGATGACAGAATATGTAGCATGTGTTATCATGAAATATCTTAAAGTAATATGACCATAAAATATCATAACCATGAAATGACTGTTTTTAGGGGAATTCAAAATTATTGGATAAGTTACCAAAATTTATCAACCTACACCATGACAATTACCACCTTTTTATATGACTAGCGTTTGGGTATAGCAATCATCATATTCCAACTATAAAACGGGATGTATAAATCTCAAAAAATTTTATTAGACAATAATCTGTAAAAAACCTGAAACCGCTGTCACATAGTACTATGGGAGAGCTTCACAAGAGCTTCATACATGTTAAATATGGTTATGATCAAAATGTTGAAATATTGAATTCAGATTTAAAATATGATGGAATAAAAAAACCTGGTCTATTGGAGGGTCCTCTCCAATGGTCTAATCACCCCTATCCAAGGTCCACTATGGTGAGTAGGCATGCTTGTGAAGATGAAGACGAAGACAGGCACGAAGACAGGAACAAAAAGAAGTTGATGGACCTCCACAGTCCACAGTAGGGCTCAGTGGTGTGGCTCAGCCGGTCAGCTTGACCGGTTACTACTGGGCTTGATCTGGGCCACCTGTCGACTCTGGTCAGGATAAAATGAGCGACCTGGTCCTATTGGGAATCATGACCAAGGTCGAGAGATTATCCCCTCAGCTGTTCGCTACTAGAAGCCGAAGGCAGCTAAGCCATACCCTAACACCCTGTTAAAAAAATTAACAGGTTGATATAACCTCTTAACAGACACGTGGAGAACAGAAAAAAAACTGATATTGAAGGGAAATATTGCTCACCAAGTTGATAGTCATTGCTCTGCATATGACTTACCTTCTGAGAAGGGAGGAAGGACTTGAAGAACTATTAGTTTGGAGTCTT